TGGGAACCAGAGTCATCCCGGACATCTTTTTTTTGCCCGAAAACTGACAGGCGGTGTGGAAGGGGTTTTGCCATGGGGGGAGACCTGGCTAAAACCCATTGAACCCACATCTGAAGGGGAACATGGGAAGCTGTAGCTTGAGGGTCATGCCCGGATCCCCTCTAAGTGATTTGTTGGTGGCACAGGATGAGAGGCAAGTGCCTGTCCTAGCTGGTATAAAGAAAAAATAATAAAAGGAAATTTGTAAAGAATGGGCTTTGCTCAGGGCTTTGCTGGGAAACCAATTTGGCTAAATAAAGGTACTTAAAAGGAAAATAAAAATAAAATATAAGAATAGTGATTTCTCTCTCTCTCTCTTTCTATGCCACCATGTGATATGTTTAAGATTTGTGCCTTCCCTAATTTGAGCTAACTAAGCTTTATGATGGGAATGACCAGAGTGTGAAAACTGAGTGTTCTGTTTTCCTCTCTGTTACTCTTTGACTTTGTGTGTCAAGGTCTTTGTGTGTCCTCGAGGTAAATATTAACTGTTGGGTTTCTAGAGTCAAGAATTTTAAAATTCTGCTAGAAATGCTGCTTAAAATAAGCCACCAAAAAGAAAAATACCTTCACTCTAGGTCAGTGATGGAGAACCTTTTAGAGACTGAGTATCCAAATTGCAACCCAAAACCCACTTATGTATTGCTGGGTGCCGGGTGGGCGTGGCCCACTGAGTGGGCGTGGCTACGGTAGTCATGGCAGCGTGGGTGGATGTGGCCAGGATGGGCATGGCCACCTTGATGTTGCTCCTGGGGAGGGATGCCTGTAGGGGCCGGGCAGGGTTGGGGGAGATCCAGGGGGTCTCTGGTGGGTGGGGCAGTGGGTAGGACACTCATCCTGCAGAGTGAGGCTAGGCGAGGGGGGGCAGGGCAGACGTGACATTGCTGTGGAACAAGGCAAGGCAAGGCAAGGCAAGGCAGGGGCCGGGGAAGGGGCTGGTTGCAGACAAAGGGGGGCTCCGGTGAGGAGGAGGAGGTGGAAGAGGGTTTAAGCAAGCTTAGCAACCGGAGTGGGGATCCCCCCCCAAAACAAATGTGCTTCGTGGGTAACCTCAAAGCACAACAGAAGAGACCAAAACCTGCTGCAACCACCCAGCAGATGGGAGGGGAATAAAAACCAAACAGCCCCCCCCCGCTAATCCTCAACAGCAATGCTCACAACGAAAGCCTTGGAGAGGGGGAAGAGCGCGGGCCAGGCGGTCGTCTTGCTCAGCTGATAGCTTGGGGGGAAGGGGGCAGCTACACCCCCTCCCTCTCATGAAAGCAGGATGAAAACTCCAAAAAGCGACAAGGAAAAAAAGTTAAAACAGAAGAGTGTCTCAGAACACCTGTATTAGCAGATGCAACTGATATAAAATCTGGATGAAGAATGATCAATAAAGCATTGTTGGTTGTCTATTTTATCTTTCCTAATAAGCTGTAACCAACTTCCTCTCTTCACTTTGTAAAACCTGTGGGTCTCACACCATTCCACATATCTGCAAGAAAGCAGCTGCAATCAGAGTACTCTAACTGTAACTTTGAAATGTGCACAACTGATTTAACTGCTGTCACACTGCAAGTTCAGTTGGAG